TCGCTTGGCACGCACCACCGGCCGGCCCTTTTTTCTCGGTCCGCCGGAGCAAGCGCGAGCCCATCTGCCAGGCCGGCCTGCTCGGACCAGGCACGAGGGCGCGTTTGGCTTGGCAGCCGCCGCGCCACGCCGCGCCCCGGAGGGCGGTGCCAGGCCCGACCGGCTCGGCTCGATTCCGCAACGCTCTGTCGGCCTGCCTATCTATCTGCCTGCCGCAACTCACGGTTGTGTTCGGAACTGGACCGGACTGGACTGGACTTGGCGGAACTGGACCGGACCCGGCATGGCATGGCAAGCCGAGCGACCATCATCTCTGCCAAGCCTTTTGCACCGGCGTAAGGTCGGAAGAATTGCCGACGGCACCATCACCATCACCATCACCATCCTCGTCCGTCCGAAGCAGATCGATCGAGCGCCGTTCCGCACAGCCCCACGCCCTCGCCTCGTCTCCTCGGCGCCCTGAGCTCCGGTGCAGTGCCGCCGCAGTCTTCGTGTGTGCGCATCTCGATTCAGACAGAGCAAGGCGGCCAATCAATCTACCGTATGTACCGTACAGGCTGCTGCACCTGGACCGCCTCAAAAGTCTGGCCAGCCATTGCACATGTTCGCCTGTCACCAGAGCAGGGTGTCGTGATCGGCGGCGTCGTGATGGCAACGGCCCGAGCAGAGCGCGGGCGGGCGGGCACACGAACCGGAGGTCACGCCTGGTCCGCTGCTGCTGCTGCCGCTGCTGCCGAGGCTGCGTCGACTGCGGTGGTGCTGGTGCTGGTGCCGGTGCCAGTAGTCTCGATGGCCTGTCGGACGGCCGCTTTCCTCTTGGCCCGCTCCGACCCCACGACAATCAGGACTCCCGCCGCGATGCCGCTGAGGAAGCTGAGCACGATGGCCGTCGCCGTCATCCACGGCGGCCGGTCCTGGTAGTGGCTGGCGTAGCCCCACATGGCGGCGCACAGCAGGCACTGCATCACCGAGTTGAGGTCCAGCAGCAGCATCACCAGCATCGCATTGCCCACCGGAAACGCACGCCGCGCCGGCGTCGAGTCCGGCAGGTACCACGGCTGCGTCCGTCGCAGCCGCTGCTGGATCCGCTTGAGCCGCCGCGCCTGCCTCCTCGAGAGGACCTGGACGTCGGTCCCGGGTGTCGGTGCGTGGCCGGTGGCGGTCGCTGGCGTCGCTCGCATTGGCGTCGTCGCGGGCATCGTTTCGTTGCGGGCACCGCCGCTGCTGCTGCCGCTCCCGCTCTCGCCGTCATCGTCGTCGATGTCGTCGATGTCCGCCTTGCGCTGCTCGGTCAAGCTGACGAGCATCTGCGAGAGCGTCGTGGCGCCGCCTCCGCTCGGATCAAACGTGGGGATCTCGTGCTTGTCCTCGAGCGGCGGCAGCCCGCGCTCCCTGCGGCGGCGCCAGGTCGTGTGCTGGTAGTGGGCGATGCAGCAGATGTCCCACGTGTCGCGGATCCTCCAAGGGATGAGGCCGACGCCCGGGATGGTGAAGAGGGCGTTGACAAACTGCGACCAGAACTCGACCCACCAGTCCTTGTTCCGGCCGTGGTCGACCCAGCCGGCGAGGAAGAGGACCAGGGCGCCTCCCGAGATGACGACGAGCACGCCGTAGACGGCCATGATGATGCCCTCCCACGTCGCGAGGAACGCGCGCAGGCTGCTGCCCAGCCGCCGCAGCTTCTGGCGCTTGGAGGCGGCGCGCACCTTTTCAATGGCCAGGTCGAGCTCGGCCGCGTCGCTGCCCGCACCGGACCGGCGCTGGGCCTCGGTCAGCCCTTCGTCCGACGACGTCTTGACGTGGTCGAGCCGCAAAAAGTCTCCGTAGGGTCGGCCCCCGTCCTGCCTCGCCGACCGACCCAGAGGCGGCAGCAGCAGGCTGGCATTGACCGTGGCGAGGTGGCGGTGGGTGTCGGCCAGGGGTTCCGCGACGCCGATGATCTCGTCGGCGGCCGAATCGAAAGCCGTCGAGTCGGCCGATTGGTAGGCATGACGGCGATGCCCCGGCTCTGTATCGACGCCCGAGGAGGAGGCATGGCCAGCGTGCGGGACCGGGTTGAAGGAAAACACGCGGAGGGCGCGGTAGACGGTCCGCGAGATGCGCTTGCGCCCGGTGGCCATCGCGATGGGGGGCCGAGGTCGGGCGAGGTCGGAGATGGCGAGGCTCAAGCGTGGGTGGACAATGGTCGGCGGCTTTCTCGCTCGTCGTCGAGGCAGGCAGGCGTACGGTGCTGCCAACGCGCACAGCAAGCAAAAGCGCACCGAGGTGGTGGGGATGGTGGTGGTCAGTGGTCAGGAGCAGGCCAGGGAGGTGCGGTACGGTACGGTATGTACGGTAGCTCGACCACGCCTGGCCCGCCGGGCCTTTTCGACGCACACGCCGGCAGCTGATGGAGGGTCCACCTCGCTCGCTCGCAGCTGTTTTGACCGCTGCCGACGCGGGGCGCAGGCCACCAGAGGCGAGGCGAGGCGAGGCCCCGCCGGTTGACCGCTGCACCGGCCTGCACGCACGCATGCATGCGTTCGTTCGTTTGGAATTACCCGCCGACCGACCGCCGGACCTCGCACGCGCAGGCAGCCCATAGAGAGGCCGCCAGGCAAGCAAGGCATCCCGACCGAACTCACAGCGAGCCAGGCCGGCCGGCAGGCAGGCGAAAGCGTAACGTGCGCACCAGCAGCAGCAGGGCCTCGACCGTTGATTTCAGGTCAATGCCAAGACGGCCTGGCCTGTTTTAGCCAGGCCTGCGTATTGTTCAACGGGCTCACGACGTCCACCGACGCCCAGTGGCCTTGACCCGAGCGTGGTCGACTTGGCGGTCGGTACGTACCGCGGCGGTTCGGGAGGTCGATGTGGGTTGAAGCGCGGCAATCGATCTGGGTCTCTGCCACACAGCCTCGAGCGCGGTCGGGCGTCGGTCCCAGCCGTGGGCGTGGCGGCTGCGTCGCTCAAACGACGGCTCGTTGCCGGCTCCGTGGGGCCATCGGGCACCTGACGACGGAAGACGAGGAAGCAGGATGCGTTGCCCATGACGAGGAGGAGAAACCGGAATCACACGAAGAAGAGACCTTCACAAGGAGCAGGCAGGGAGAAGGCAACGGCCGATGCCGACGGGTCACTGTGGGGAGGCGGACGGGCGGGCTGGCGGGCTGGTCGGCAGGCTGTCCACACCACCTAGTCCTGCTGCGGTGCGGGCCAGCGTGCTGCTGCTGCGCCGCCATCGCCCATCATCGCCCGCCGACTGCCTGCTAACCGGCGATGGCGCAGCGGAGGTTCTTTTCCATCTCGCTCTGGCTGGCGGCGAGGCGCGTCTTGACGATGGGCATGACCATCCAGGACGCCTCGACCTGGACCTCTTCGACGAGCTCACAGCTGTCGGCCTCGTCGTGCTCGCACACGGTCCACACCGAGGTAAAGGTGAGCTGCACCCCCTGCGTGCGCCGCACGACGTGGAGGCCGTCGGCCGTCGGCGTCAAAGTCACGCTCGTCGTCGACTGCATCGACAGGGCGGGGATGTTTTCGGTGACTGCGGGTAGTGTGCAGGTGCAGCAACGGGCAGGGAGTGGCTGGCTGGCGTGTGAGCGTCCTGTCTTGCTCGCCTCGCCAAAGCATCATCCGAGGCAGCTGCGCCTTCGGTCTTTTCTTCGCGGCCACGCTGCTCGTCCCGCCGCAACTCACCGATCCAGACGTCGCCCTTGTTCTCGAGCTCGACCCGGTCGTTTGGCAGGCGGAGGAAGCGTTGCGGGTCGTGGAGGAGCGCCACGACCTTGTCCCTGCTCTCGTTGACGGTGAAGCGGTTCGTGTAGCTGTGCGTCTTGACCATGGCGCCGTTCGGACGAGGTGTGGCGTAATTGCGGGCGAGGCAGCGGGGGGCTGTTCAGAGACACGAGTGTGTGATGAGGAGCAAACGACGGTTGCGGGACTTGGAAACGCTGGAAGGTTGCCTGCGAGAGTTGCTTTGTAGACGATGGATGCCGGATGACGCGCGGAGCCAGAGAGATGGTGTGCGGAGCTAGAGAGATGAGCGCGCGTGCGTGGTGGGCGAGATGAGATGTTTTGCGGAACGAGATGCGAATCGGTCAGAGGAGGCTTGGATGCTGGAAGACGAGAGCGCGGGCGTGCGAGCTTTGAAGACGAAGAAGCGAGTGGTGGCGTGGAGGAAAGACGAGAGCAGGCGAGCCTTGACGGAGGTGGGTCTGCTTGCTTGTTCTTTTTTTGCGCCTGGCCCGAGGCGGCGGGGCCAGCGAGGCCAGAGAGGGCTTGGTGACGACATCGGATCCGTGCATCGTCGCTCCCCGCTCCCCGCTCGTCGCCGTCGTCGTCGTCGTCGTCACCAGTGCCAGGCCAAGGCAAAAGTCCGGCGGAGAGGCCAACAACCAACAAGCAAGCTGAGCGGCCGCCCCGCCTTGGCGCGTGGGGCTCGGCGGGTCGTCAAGACGCCACTCCGAACCTACAGGACCGACAGCACAGCGAGCGCTGCCCACACTACTCTTGCGACGCCGTGGCGGGGGGATCTACATAGCTCGCTGCTCTGCCCTCGCACTTCCGCGACAGCCGGGCCATCCGAAACGCCAAGACCGAAAGCAGGCGCAGATCGAGAATGCCGAATGAAGAGGATCGCGACCGCGCCGCTCGAGGCATGCGGGCGGCCCACACAGCCCCCGCTGCGGTCGGCCCATCTCCGTCGGAGATGCCGAGGCCCCCTCTTCCACCCACGTGCATCTTGGCCGTAGTCCGCCGGTGCCCTCGTACTGCACCCGGGGCATTGTTTCGACGTGCGACGTGCGCAAACCGGCCAACAAACCGCGCCACGCCACTCGACCTTAATGTAACTACCCTCCCCCCCGACGCCTGCGGGCAGACCGCCGCCGTCCAAAGTTCATCCAGCGGGAAACAACCAGGCGCCGAGCCCCGTCCCGAGGCCAAAGACCACCGCCGGCGGCAAGTTGGGCTGGGTGCAGTGCGCCGCATACGTATGTACGCAGGCTTGGCTCGCTCGCCCCGCCCGCCCGCTCGAGCGAGGTGGATTGTGCATGGTAGAGCGTGTTACGCCCTGCGACGTACACCGACCATCGGCGCACTCGCCGCCGGCTGTGTGTCTCCCCTGTCTCTCTCTCCCTCTCCATCCCCCTCTCCATCTCCGCCCCCGTCTCCATCTCCGTCTGGGTTCCGCCCCCCTTTGTCCTCCAGGCCTTTCCTGGCGCGTCTCCCCCTCCTCTCTTGCCATTGTACTCCCCTTTGGACTGTTCAGTACGTGCGTGTGCGTTCGCCAGCTCGTGTCTCATCGCCTCCCGACCCAGTCGCGGCGAGCGACGCTCGCTCTGCTCCGGTCTGGCGGCTGCCGGGCGACGGTGCATGTCCGCTGCCCGCCTCGACCCCCCAACATCCAGCGCTCTGCTCGTCTTCGTTGGGCATGGCCCCCTAGGCAGCGCCACCATGGCTATAAAGCGCCGAGGTCGAGGCGGCCCTGGTCCCTCTGCCACCTCTTACCTCCAACAGCAGCAGCTCTCCCTCGCCATCGCCATCGCCCTTGCCCTCCGCTGCGCCTCCTTTCCGGTCTTGCTTCACCGACGCCCCCTGAAGCCTCAAACAAAGCGCGCTCAACAGGCCCAAACGCACCACCCCAGGCTAGCTTATCCCCTCTCCTCTCATCGCCCGACAAGGCTACATCACCACCACCACCACCACCATCGCCGCCGCCTCTGACGCCATGTCGACCCCTTCGGCCGCGCCCGACGCCTCCGAGTGCCGGTACACGGTCCTGCCGCACGTCCCCGGCGCTGCGGGCAACCGCATCATCGGCGCCCTCTACGCCATCGCCGCCATCGTCCTCGTCTGGCGCGCCATCCAGAGCCGCAAGGGCTGGCCCTGGGTCCTCCCCATCGGCGCCGCCGCCTCGGCCGCCGGCTTCTTTATCCGCCCCATGATGGACCCGTGCGACTTCTCCGTGGGCCTCTACGTCGGCCAGCAGCTCGTCATCCTCGTCTCGCCCTGCGCCTTCCTGGCCTTCAACTACATGCTCTACAAGCGCCTCATGCTCGCCGTCGACCCGCAGCTCGCCACGGCCGAGAACCGCAACGTCAAGTCGCCCTACTCGTTCCTCCCGCCCCTCAAGGTGTCGCGCATCTTTGTCTGGAGCGATGGCATCACCTTTTTCCTCCAGTGCTCGGCCGGCGGCCTCATGGCCGGCAAGAAGCCCAACATGATCGACCTCGGCAACAAGATCTTCCTCGTCGCCGTCATCCTCATGGCCGTCAGCTACGCCCTCTTTTTCTCGCTCGCCGTCGTCGCACACTCGCGCCTCGGCGCAGAGCACAGCCAGAGCCAGCGCTTCCACGCCGTTCTCCGCAAGCTCTTCCTCTGCCTCTACTTTTCCAGCACCTTCATCATGGTGAGTGCCCGTGCCCGCCCGCTTGCTTGCACGCCGCCGTCGCCCGACGACCGAGCGCCTTCCCTCGACGCTCCTCGGCGCTCGCTCGCATCCATCATGATGGCTGACGCCCCGCGCCCCCCTTGCTCGCTCGCCCTTCGCTCCCGTCTGCCCAACTTGCCCACGCCAACAGGTACGATCCATCTACCGTATCGCCGAGTTTGCTCTCGGACGCGATGGTGTCCTGGCATCCAACGAGAGTGAGTCGACGCCCGTGGCCCGCAGATCCGCACCTCCCGCCGATGCCGCTTCCGCTCCCGCATCCGCTGACCCGACCGCCGTCATCGCTCCCCTCGCCCCCGCCCCCACCCGCGCGCTGCAGTCTACCTCTTCGTCCTCGATGCTCTCCCGCTCATCTTCGCCATCTCCATCTGGGCCCTCTTCTGGCCCATCAACATGATCGACGAGATCGCCCAGGAGCGCTACGCGGACGTCCCCATGGCCCAGAAGCCTCTCTCGCACGGCGCCTACGCCTGAGCTGCCCAGCGCCTCGCCTCGCCGACGCCCCGCTGGCCCCCCCTCGAACACTCACGACCCTAACGACGACGACGAGACGCACCGGGCACCGCCGCTGCCCGCTCGATGTACATACCTGCCTACCGAAAACCGGGACGGCGCCGCGGCCCTCACGAATGTAGATACACACGCACCGCGTGGCCCGATGCAGGAGACTTTGACGCCCGGGTGAGGTAGACAGAGTCACGGACAATACAGCCATCCCGAAGACATTCACGCCGACGAGGGCCGCCTGAGCACAGCCGACGTCGCGAGCAGAGGGGACACGGCGACGAGCAAAGGTGGCCTCTCCGCCCGACGGCGGCCGACGGCCACGACTCTCCATACGAGGCGCAGTCGTTGCGAGCAGACCACGCCCATTCATCGCACATCCTTCATCGCACACCCGCTTGTCGCGCGTCCGGTCGTCGCCCGCCTGTCCAGCGCCATCGGGGACGCAGTCCAAGCAGCGAAAGACTTGTGGCCCTGGCGCTTGCCTTTGCCCGACGCTGGAGCGAGCTCGCAGCAAGCAAGAGCAAACGAGAGAGGGGAGAAACTCTCTGGCTCTCCCCCGGACGGGTCGCCGCTGTACCTTCCCACCCTACCCATCGCACCCTCTAACGCTGCTGTGCAACGAGAGGAGCGGGAAAGGAGGCTCACTTGCGTGCAGTGCAGTGGTGTCAAGCCTGCTTGAGTGCAGGAGAGCCGAGAAAAGCAGGCAGTGTGTCCAACAGCATAAGAGGCAGGAGGTATACCGGTAGAGGCACCATCCCAGCCCCTGACTAGATATATGCACTTTGTGGACACCCATACCTCCTCCAGTCCTTTGAGCCTGTACAACGTACTATTCCCTTTTGTGTGGAATAGCTTGCACCACAAAGCTCCACAACAGTAAGGGAAGATGGTAATGCCACCCATCACAGAATTCAGTGTTGATGCTCAGGCTTGCAATGATGCTTGGAGCAGCCTGATTGGACTCCTGGAAGGCAGTTTGCGTGGGCAGAATGTT